CCCCTTAGTGTGAGCTATAATAGTATGGAATTGAAAATTGACTCAATGAGTTATGCTGGCATGCCGCGCGCTAGGTTCATGCAAGGCTCGCGCGCCATGCAGCTAGCGGCGGCCGCGCGCCCGGCCAACTTAATCAAAACCCGCACCGTCACGTGCAACCCCTGAAACCCTAGAAGCGTGCTACCGGTGGCGCGGCCGCGCGACGCAGAGTAATTGAGCATAACAGTAACTTCAGGACAGCTTGTGCAATGCCGAGGGCAGGACACAAGAGGGACACTGCATACCTACATGCCTCTCAAGCAAGGAGAATGGTGGGAGAGAAGAGCTTCGGAAAGAGACACTGAGGTTGAACAGGCATCAAATTGGGAGGGACTCAGCCCGGACACAGTATGGAGGGGGAAAAGAGGGCGCCAGCAGATGCTCTAAAGTCTGCAACATGTATTAAGTAACTTACTTCGCAGTAGTACGCTGCTCTTCTAACCCTGCGACAGATGACTGGGGGGCTTATGCTGCCTCCTCTAGAGGTTCTTCACCTCCTTCAAGAGTATACAATCTGCATGGTCAGCATTCTTGACAAGGCCAACCGGTTGCAAGGGACCGTCATGCAGAAAGAATTGCAGAAACCGACATAAATGGGACCGGCGCATCCACATGTACTATACTTCAAGATGGGGTTCAGAAGCAGAACACTTGATTGCGGGAAATATAACAATGCATCGATGATCTTCGAGTAGCTAGGGCATATGCAATTGGATAGGGACGTTTGACTGCACACGCTTCGACTACACCATGATCATGTGAGTGAACGGAGGCGCAGCTAGTGGGGATAGAATCTCAGGCAGAAACTTTAAGCCGGCCACAATGAACAATGGATGTACGTGCACACTGAAGTGCAACGTACTGCGAGGTATGAGACATGGACGAGCAGAACGATTTCAATAACCGGACATGTCACATATAAGGGCCGACAATCCATCATTGCAGACAATTTGTATGACTCGGATGCACGGGTAAGGATTCTGCCAACTTCACGTTGTGAGATTCTGAAAATGCAAGGCGCGAACGAAATGGTTGCATCCTCCATTAGAGCGACATTTAATGTACGGGATGAAAGGGGAATGTGAAGCACTCGAAACAGAAATGCTTCAGTATGTGAGTCCTTTCTTCTGTGCACCGAGAAACCTGTCCAACGCGTTCCAGAACTCAAGCGCCGCCGTTTTGTCACGGTGCCTGTTGAACTTGCTTATCTGCACGAGCAACACACACGGCAACTCAGAACGATGCACATCACAAGAAACTCTTCTGACGTGTTTCAAAAACCATGAGAAAGAGGCGAGCAGCAACATGCCATACGTCACATGCTAAATGCTCTACTGCTCTGAAAGCTGCTCTCCCCTGCTCAAGTTTCTTTTATTTTGTCCGTTCATGCATCCGAAAAATCATTTGCCGCAGACCCATGCATATTTGCTCACAGACACGACTGATTCCGTCAACTGATTCCGTCAGTCGTCTTTTCTCGATGATGGAATGATAAGCCGAGTCCTAAATCTAGACAGTATCGTTCAGACATCAGAGACGCCTAGACAGCAGAGCAGAATGGGTCAAGGATACCTACGCTTATCGACTTGACGTTCCAGGACTTGATGACGTCGTCGAGCTTTTCGTCCTCGTAGCGGATGTGGAAACCTTTCACTGCAAGGCAGAAAGTAAGAATGAGACTATCACTCATGAACAAACTATCCAAGGGAACCCGCTATTCGCACGAGCCAGAAGAGGACCTCAAAGAAGCTGTTAGCGAGAGGCGCCACTCAATCACGGCTCCAAAAGAAGACTCGAAAAGAAAACAAGCGCATTTTTTCGTTGGTGCTTGGGGTCCATGCGACGTTTCAATATCAGAGCGAAGAGCTTTGTAAGATCTCGGACGGACATAACGAATTCCAAAAGCGCAAAAATCGCAGTCGATACACCGTTTCTGAACGGGAAATGGGGCCGGTGGAAATCCCGAGGTCAAACTGAAAAAAGCCGATAGGATTCCTTTCCAGACATCATGCATCCTACGGAACTCGGTGCTGTGGCGTCAGAAGCTTTCAACCGCGCTGTGGCCCTTTAGACCAACTACTCGACTCTTTCATTGCCTCTCGTCACCACAGCAGACGAGATGGTCGTTTTGTCTGCTTCGACGGCAAACAGGATCTTGATGTCGTATTCACTATGTCGTGGTCGGTATATGGACGTTACTAGATTCCAAAGTTACGGCTCATCACAGCCATGGCGACAGAATGCAAAGGACGTGTGATCGACAAGCAGAGACGACGTGCATCTCTTCTACGCTGCAACGTGGGACAAATCATGATAACGGCTCGTCGATCCGAATTATCTGCGACTTTGCAAAAGCAACGTTCCTTGTAGCCCAGAGCGAAAGCACGTGTGGCGGATCTTCTTTGCTTCCAAGTTGTCTGAATATATGAAGGCTTTGAGACCTCGAGCAAATCGAGCAAGTAAACTCAACCGCTTCTGCTGGCAATGGACCTTCATGAATGTGCTGCGGGCAAGTAAAAGCAAACCCAAGCAATCGCGAACTGCATTCTGTGGCTTCAGCCGCATGTCCACGACTTGATCTGACAGGTTGTCAGATTGCGCTTCCATCTCTGCCACAGCGACACCAAGATACGTTCAGGAAAATCGTTGTCTGTGTTGATAAAACTCCCATGCTTAGAGGGTTGAACATCTGCTCGTGTCTGAGCTGCGTAGGAAACGTAACGCAGAGGGCTAGCCATCAGTACGTCAAAGTCAGGTTCGGTTGGGGCACAGGACACAATTGCCAACCCCTGCCCAACTTTAGAAGCAGCGAAGTGGCACGACTACACGTTCGAGTTGGCTCTAAGGCAACCGTATTTCTATACCGATGGATGCTGTAAAGAGAGGGTAGCAACCGGCTTCTCCGGGTAACATTTGCGCCTCTTCCGACGAGTTTGGTGCGGGATAAGAGTCGCAACAAAGATTTTAGTGAGACACCGCGTCCGATGTCCTTCTGATTGTCTTCTCTGATGCATGTGGATCCACACACAGAGGTTCAGAAGGACTTCGTTCGGGCACATTTGATCGATTCACGGGAAAACTTCAGGTTCGGGTGGAAACAAGGTGTGGTGTTTGGTAGCAACACTGAAAACCGGAAGCCTCGACCACAAGCTGCACGAAAGACTAAACCAAATATCATTTTCTGCACCGCTGTTGTCTACGGAAGCAAGACGAGACTACAGAAGCAGTAAGAAAGGGCTCCTCTGCTTAAGTGCAGGCTCGCTGCAGCCTTCAACACGCACGCATATTCATGGCTTCTCCTTACAAACCGATGCTCTTCGAAGCAAGAACAACGTGAAAACAGGCAAGGCGGTATAGCCATAATCTCAGCTAGACGCATAATCTCTTCGAAGATGTGAGAACGTGATTAGTGGAAGTATGAATGGCTTCCGCATGTCAAAAAGGACTCCCGCGGCCTCGGAAGACGAAGCAGAATTGACACGTGTGCCAAGTTGTGAGCGACATCATTGCCACACCTCATCATAAATCTGATTTGTCCGCAGCAGTCCAAGTCACTCTTGTCAAGCAGATTCACGGCTTACTCGGTGAAGCGCAAGGAAAATTGTCGATGCCTCCGCAAAGAAGCTGAAACACTGGACCCGCCAGTTGCCAGAGAGAATCTACTTCTTGCAGAATAGAAAGTACCGACTCTCCGAACGAAACTTCAACTTCCAACGCGCTCGTATTGACAGACCTTGTCGAGCTTGATGATCAGAGCGAACCTACAGAACGAGGCAGTTTAAGCGAGAGAATGGTGGCATAAAATACTCGACACTGAACAGTATGCCTGCGGGTCTTCAAGGATCCAGACATGGCATCAGTAACATTGAAGGATGGCAGTAGGGTTTGGTGGCACCATCTCAGCCAAGCCAAAAGAATTAGCGGCCCGGAAACAGGTTTCCCGGTGCCACGTAGCAGACTAGCGATGCTCCAAGAAGGGAGTCTGAACACGAGGGACTAGGGGAGGCAGAGACTGAGCAGCGCAGCAAACCGAAGTTGCATCTCAACCATGCGGAAAGCAAGAACAGTGGGTAGCAGACCAAGTCTTGTCTGCCAGTTGTCACTTCAGATCTTGTGCAGCTATCCGCGCGCGTCCTTGTAGCCTCCCTTTCGTGGCCACGACTCTCGATAATTCAGAATGAGAAAGAATGTGGCGCCAATCGTGAAGTCCTCGGAGTAGAAGAAGCGGCTGAGGGAGAGCAACCATTCAATCGGAGCGGCTATGCTGAAACACAGTGCCCTATTTGTGGCTTGTGAAGAAACTCGAGAGCATGAGAGATCTCGAGCAGAAGAAAGGAGGCCCCAGGGCGCTGAAAGCCAGCAGATTCAACGAGGAACACAGGAAAGGTGCAAATAATGGCAATCAGTGAAGTTTGATCATTTGGCGTTAGCCACACCGGTACTCCCTTCATTGCCCAACCTTGCCGATGCCTAGCTCTTGGAAAAGAACTCGCTCACTCAAGCAACAACCTAATTTGCAAGCAATTTGGAATCCTCTAGGTTGCGAGCAACCCAAAGCGGACGTTGCATAAAACGCGTCCAAATAACAAAGTTGGTCCAGCAATGCCTTCGGCGAATCGAGTTTGATTATATGTCCGTCTCGACCTTGAGAAGAGGGCACAAAAGCCGAGTCTCATCCGGCTAGCAAAAGCAGCTCAAGGCACTTTGTGCAAAGAGAGCGTGGGACTGCTTAAATCCAGCGTTGAAGCATAACTGAGGTGAGGCCGGAACCTTAAGCCACTTTACTGCAAGTGTAAGCCCACGATGACCAGGCTCTGCACTTGGCGGTCCGACGTAACAGTGACCGATTGGCGTTGGGCGGCTGGAACCAAACGGCCGTCGTCATAGCCTGAGCGCGGGATTCTGGCTGCTAGTACACAGCCTGGCAAACTTCTTTCATTAAGTTGGACGCTTGCCCCTCAGTACCCAACGGATGGCAGGACTCTAAAGAACCCTGCTGAGAAGCGGCAAGCGAACTCGCCAGCAGACGGGTTCGGGAGAGGCAGCTTAGTTGAGTGCGGAAATAGGACTAAGAGCAAGGAGTCGAAGAAGTGTGCGCAAACAGGACTAGAAGCAAGGAGTCGGACAACATCAGGGGGCGTAAAGACAGAGGTTGTTCTCCTTGCCAGCGCAATGGCACGCTGCTGGCAGGCCGATGCTGTCGAGCTTTCAAGACCCCATGAAACGGAAGGGTACGAAGAATTCGTGTTCCAAATTATTGATATGCAAGTCAGGCGTCAGACGAGGATCGCATGGTGGCGGGATTGGAGGCACCATTTTCCCTCGCGCATCAGTGCCCGACAGTCAGAGACTTTTAAGACGTTTCTTGTCACGCACAGAAACTCCTTTTCCAGGAACTCGCTGACAACATTGAGGCTGCTCCGAATCTCACGTGGTAAATCTGCCATGACGAATGCACGCTGTGGAACACACCAGAACATATATAACAAAGCAAGCGCACATACTTGGGTGCAAGTAAGGGGATGCGGCCGCACGCCCGAAAGCGTCGAAGCTCCATCCAACAGCCATCTTCAGAAAGTATTAACGCCGAAAGAAAGCACACGCAAAATGCCTGGCGTGCAGCTAGGCTTTCCCTATGGTGCTGCCAGTTCGCGGGGCAGCTGAAAAGGGGACAATTCGCAGAAAATCGGAAAATAAAGAATGGACCAAGCAAGATCCCTTTGACCAAGGAAGACAAAGCGATAAGATGCAGGCTCACCGTTGTGGAAGATCTCCGACACGTCTGACCACGGCCAACCGTTGAACTGCCAAAGCTTCCCAACGACGAACACCGCCACCACTCGTTGCCTGCAGAAAACAGCGCAGAACGTGAGGGGCCGCCACGCAGCAAAGAAAGCGTCAGCACTAACGTGCGTCCAAACCGTGGCTTGCGAGTTGATGATACATGAGATCAGCGGAGAAAGCGCGCTTTATGGGACAGCAGGATGCGACGAAGCTTCCCGACACCGATGATTTACAGAACGCACTTCCTGCAAAGAAAGCGGAGGTGAGAGAAGCACACGCCACAGGGAGTCGGTCACCATCTTCTTGCGGGTTACTGCCGGAGGTCACTGGGGAAATCTGGCGACAGAAGGGGATATACGCTTGCAGCTCAGGCGTTCAGCTTAGCGACAATCACCCTGCAAACGTACGAGGACCCAAACAGTCCACGAGCGGAAATTGCTAGAGGAAATAGGGAGTTTTCGGAAAAGGCCGCAAAAAAGGGTACCTTGGACCTCAAAAGAACGTATGAGTGAGAAAGACTTGACGGGCAAAATATCTACTTTGATACGTCAAGTGTCATGGCGATCAAAGCGTTTGCCCCTTAGTTGCTGCTATTTCGACGACTCCCTTCACGCATCCAGCCCGTTCTTCCAGGATCGTCACAGTCAGACCCCAGTGCTAGCTAGCTTGAACCAGACAACCATATTGGATCAATGTAATAAAGTCAAAACGCACCAGTCCTTGGAGCCGGCCTTGGGCGCGACGTTGAGGATCTGGTAGTGCGGGTACGGCTCCTTGCGGTTGATGTTGCGCATGACGCCCACGTTGGTCGGCTTGAGCGACGTCTGGCTCGCCTTCTCGTCCCACCGCACGTAGTTGCCGTTCTCCAGAAAGTCTTTCGCGTTGTAGATGTTCAGCAAAGTATTGGCGGCGTTGGGGACGATGATGATGGGCGGGCCCTCTGCAGGGGGACATAAACAAAGTTGAAGAACCTGTTTCAAATGAGGCGGTTTGGTTTTAACGTCGCCCTTGACGGAGTTGCCATTGTCCAGAAAGTCTCTCGCGTAGTGAATGTGCAGAAGTATGTTGGCAGCATTCGGAACAATGATAACGGGCGGGCCTTCTGAAGCGAGAGAGAAACCAGCCTGGGATATTGATGGAGTAATGATGTTTTCAGTGGCCGGGTTCCGTTTGGATACATCGCCGTTTTCAGGGAGTCTTTTAACGTTGTGGATGTCAAGAGAGTGATGGCGGCTTGAAGAAGATGCTGATGGGCGGAAGAGAATAACGAACAAAAGTCAGGAACCTGCTACAGATGAGGTGGTTTGCTTCTTTACGTCGCATTTGACGAAGTTGCCGTCGCCCAGAAGATCTTTCGCGTTGGAAGTTCTTAGCAGAGTGTCGACGGTGTTTCGCACAACGATGAGGGGTAAGCTCGCAGACAATTAGAGTTTGCCTCTGATGAAGTAATTCTACTTTGTAATGTTCCACTTGACGGCATTGCAATCTCGTTGGAAAACCTCTAGCGCTTTGTGAATGTCCTGCAGATTATTGGCGGCGTTCGAGATGACTCTGATAGACGGACCCTCTGCGGCAGAATGGGAAGACCGGTTTGGACGAGTCGGTCATAAAGAAACGTCTGAGAGATCCGTTCCCACAAATTGGGGCGTCATACATAAGCAGCGTTCGGAAAGTTCATGAATTGCGGGCCACATGTGAAAGGCAGTACTCGTCGAGTTCATTCCCGATGCATTACTTTCAAGGAATCCCGTAGGACAGTTGCTAGCTAACAGGGAATCAACAAGGGAGAACGGAGCCCAGTCTGCTCAGCTTTCTGATTGGACTGGTTCCCAATCTCCCTGATCCTGACTCAGGCAAGGCGCATCTAAATCTCTTGTAGCAGACTGGAGTCCCTGAAAAGCAAGACACTTCAGGCTGAGACTCAACAGACAGTACGACCAAAACAAGAAAGACACAGATATAAGTTTGTACACTTGCCAATTTTCTTGACTGGTTTCTGCCGCACCGCCTGTCTTGTCTGCTCCACCTTGCCGCTGCTCTCCTCCGCCCACCGGTCGCTCGTGGCTGTCGTCTTGATGCCCAGGTCCGCCACATCTGTAAGCGAAACATCACGATTGCTCAATTTGAGACACTTGGGTTCCGGTCGCGCAAGTCTCACTTGTGTGTGCGCACGCATCTGAGAAGCCTGTGAAGATTTTTGCCCAATTCCACACGCTTTGACTCAACTGCTCAAGCGTACAATATCAGAGTGCAACATGCTCATACGCCGCTGGAGATTGAATGTGCGAACGCCATTAACTCCATCTATTCCGGTTCTGCTGACCCGCAATGGAAATCAATCGGAACCGGCAATTTAACAAGCATGGGGCTCAACCATTCATGTGATGCTGGTTCCGCCCCTGAAAGAATCGTCCGTAAATCACACAAACGGACGGGCTTTCTTTAGGGGCAAGAGAGCGAAAGTCACTTTGATCCGTCTGCCGCAAATTCCTAGAGCGGACCATCAGATGAATGGTTTGCAGCTTGCTTCCTGAGCCAAGCAATTTTCGTACTCAGAAAGTAATGAGCACCCTACCTCCTCCCTGCGCATAGCCCTTCCAGAACTGCTCCGTCTCCTTCCCGTTCGCATACCGCTCCCCGGCCGGTGTTGCGGCACCATTGGCGGCCTCCCCTTTCCGCTTGGGGTCATCTTTCGGCTTGGTCAGCATGGCCAGAATACCGGAGAAGTTCTTCTTGTGTGAGAGCAGGATCGCGTTGCGGTCGCGCACCAATCGCTCCTCCCGCTTGATGCGCTCAAAGACCAACGCATCGTTGTTCCAGTCCAGGATGGCGGCGGTGTCCTGCATGCAGATAGGGTACACATGCTTGATAGAGATTTTCTTGCTAGCGTTCTCTGAAACTTTACAAAAGCTCTCCACTCGCTTGTGAATTTCCATGAGAGACTTTTCTTGGGAACATCTGATGTCTTTTCTCGACAATTGGAACAGACAGCACTATTCTCAGGAACTACAAAGCATGACAGAGACAATGCTGCATGACAGTGAGGTTGTCTCCTGCAAGCCAGGCAAAAGGAGTGAGACAACCGAGTGATACCTTTGTGGTTTAGACCTCGACATTTCACCCCGCAATCTGTAGATCCTCAGAGAAACATCCTCAGAGGACCCAGCAGAAGCCACCCAAGAAGCTACCCATGACAATCCACGCATCATTTACCTCTGCGCTTGGAGCATCTGTCCGGGGCTTCTTTGCATCCCGAGTCCCCTCCTCAGGCGCTGCGGCCTCCTTCCCCTCAGGCTCCGGCCGCTTCTGCCCTGCAACAGCTGCCGGCGGGATGGACTTATGCACGGGGAGGGCGGCGCTGATGTCGATGGAGTCGCACGTGTCAATCTCCCCCTTGAAGTATCTGCACAGGGTTGTATGGCTTATATAGGCTCTCTTCTCTGAGAGCAGAGATATTCATACAAAGCTTTTCAGGCCCTTCCAAGCCCATTGTTAGGTCGCACCACGCACATCCGGACATGTGTGCATGCCCAAGCCCGGGATAATCCGCCTATTCCACGAAGCACAGACCAGGGGAAACTTGGCGGCCTAAATACTGCAGACTTCTCCTGCAGCTAAAAGACCAAAAAATGCACCCAATGAAGTTCCCCGCTCTTGCCAAAGCCAGTCTCCTCTTGGTGTTAAACTAACCAGTCAAGAGGTTTTTGCTCAATGCCAAAAGAGTCACAATCATGGAGAACACCGCCCACTTTGTCAGGTTTCTCCTGTCAATCAGGTTCACGTTCTGCACCTCCGCCGCCCTCGCCTGCTTGATGTACTCCGTGTGCTTGACCGGCAGCGTCTGGGCCACAAACAGCACCGCATCCAGCTTATAGTAGTCAGTTCCGGACTGGGACTGCCACACCCTGAATGCTGTGTCCGTGTCCTTTGGGAACTGGTAGCTGCTGCCAAAGTGGATGACATCGCCGACCACCTTGACCTGGTCGAGCTCATTCCGCACGCAGTAGTCCCTCAGGATGCTCAGGGGATCCATGATGGCAGGAGATCACGCGCTCTTGCAGCAGAACCGCCCGTGCGAGCCCTCTCGTGCGCCCTCGCTGCGCTGCACTTCTCTGAAGTGACGATGTTGGCTAGCGGCTCAGACTACGTTTGTGTTCAGAGGAGCCCAGGGTTCAGTGAACAGTTTTCTTGCTTCAAACCCAGGGCTGCGGGAAACTCTTGCAGGATTATTCCTCGAAAGGTCGCCTTCACTCATCTTGCCTGTTCGAGGTTCGCTGGGTTGCCATTCTGCTCAGCTTGTGAAGCGTGAAAGGCACTTCATAAAAGCTCATTTGAGCGCCACCCCTTTCCCTTTGGATCACCAGCTGGCTTGTCCTTCAAGCTCAAGAACCACGGTATGTAGTCTTCAACTTCATCTTCATCAAGTTCATGCTGGCTGGCCATTTCGAGTGATGATCTCCGCTCTGTCACGGGCGTTTTGTTCCAGAAATTGCGGTGTATATCATACAGTACGTGCTTTGAAGTTTCTACGGGTAGCGTCACAATATACTGCGAAGGGAACCCCTAAATTCACAAGCTAGTGAACTGGACAATTTCCGAGGTGAGACTGGGTGAGCAGGCGCAGCTCACAATTCTCTGGATTTCAAGGGCGAAGTGATTTTGGAAGTGAATGCACAGTTGGCGAGGGAATTGCTTTAGCCACAGAGACGAGTTGTTGTTGTAATCAACGGATTGGTGTCTCTTATCTATCATTGATGCAGGCACGTCTTGATCACTGACTACCACGAGTCAGCTGAGTGACGGGGTCTTTTAGAAGAATGCAGAGCAACCAGCAGCAAGAAGCATTGATAACACTTGAATGCTGAACATCCTAGGCTAGCAAGTCCATTTCTTATGGCCCAAACAAGCAGCATAAGGAGCGTACCCTGCTTGCAAGGAACAATGCTGGCCAGTCAACTAGGTAGCCGTTCTTCAGCGATGCTGGGAAGAGGAATGCTTGGAGTGAAAGGACACCTCTTGAAATTGTTTCCTCTGGGACCAAGGGTGTCAAATGCAAGGGTGGTTGTGGCCAGGAGAGGCCTCCCTTTATTCAGGGTGGATTGCAAGGAGAATCCTGTGCAGCATTGCTTTGTACCGCCCTTCCGAGAAAGGGCACTTGACATTGACAGTCTTCGCTTGTCCATTATAACCCCTCAGCGTAGTGTAAGGAGCAATGCTAGTTCCGTCCCTCCTCCAGCAGCCCTCAAGCACGCTGTCACGCACCACCCCTTGCTTTCAAAAGATGAGCTTGAATCAAGGGTCCGCCACTTTCGTTGGCAGTGCAATTGTCAAACCGCCACAGCTGAACCTGCGCTCGCACCAGCCAGTGCTTCCCCGTACGGGAATCTCAGATTGCACAACACGATGACTCGACAGAAGGAAGTTTTCAGGCCCAGGGTCGAAGGCCAAGTGGGGATGTACGTCTGCGGCGTGACAGCGTATGACTTCAGCCATATAGGGCACGCGAGGGTGTATGTCTGGAGCGATTGCTTGTTCAGGCAAGTGGCTCCACAATCACAGCTCTTTGCAAGCAGTCTTCCTGTGTCAGATGGAAAGGGAAGCTTATAAGTTCGATGACTACATCAGTCGAGTCTGCAACAATCCGCGATAACCAGCTTCGACTAACTTATAACCGTCCCACTCCACTTGAGACAGGGAGTTGCTCCAGGTTAACACTCGGCACCACCACTTCCGTCCCTCTTTATGGTGCTTGTGGATTATGTTGTGTGAGCATCAGATACGGCCCTATATCTTTCCCGCACAGACAAGTGGTCGACGTAGGCGGTGCTCTTTCCCCGAGTGGCGTATGCTCAATGCAGAGAAACAGTCAATCTAGACTTGCCATGTTGATTGCTCAGCCACGAGTTCTGGCAAAGTTTTCTTCGTGTTCTTGCTGTGATACTATGGTCAAATTGTCGGCAGGCCTTCTGTTGCAGGTACTTGCGCCACCTCGGTTACGAAGTGAAGTACGTCAGAAACTTCACCGATGTGGATGACAAGGTATGGGTATACTCGCTTTCTCGGTGAGGCGGCGACCAAGGGATAGCCAGGAAGTTTTCTTTGCTGATTGCAAGATCTATTGAAATCTGATAACCGTAGGTAGAGCCAGAACGTCTCGAATTCGGAAAACTACCGAATCAGGGTCGTCAATGAGGCCTATATCTGCGTCTGTCTTGGTCAGTATGGTTCAACAATACGCCGTGCAACTTTTCCTCCTGCATTCAAATGCTTAAAGTACTCCTTCGACTCTGCTAGCAGCGCTGGCAGCCTCAAAGCTGCTTTCCGTCTTCTTCCAGATCATAACGCGCGCGAAGCAGACTGGGGAGGACCCCATCGCCCTGAGCGAGCGTTTCTGCGAGGAGTTCAAGGAGGACATGAACGCGCTCCGCTGCTTGCCGCCTACTTCAGAACCGAAAGTCACTACGCACATACCTCAAATCATCACAATGATACAGCAGGTATGTTTTTCTTTCACACTGTGGTTGCGGCACCCACTGGAGAGTACAGAGAGAGGACTTGCCATCTTAGTTCCTCTGCGAAACATCAGGATCAGCCATATATTACAAACGAGCGTCCGAATGAGAGGCAATCTACAAAGCGAACCCTGCACTTGATGCAGTAGACCTCAACGTACATCAGGCTTGGGGCTGGTCGATTTCAAACCTGATTAAAAGATCGCATGATCGAGATTTGCAGGCTGCCTTCGTGGTTCATAGTGTGAACTTCCCACGTAACCCTTATCCAAGAACGCCGCCAGCCTTCTCACAGATCTTCAAACCACGGCCGCTGAACTTGCACGCAGACGACTCAGAAGACAAGAGTTCTACCTTTCAATTTCTGGCGTTGCTTGTGCAGATCATCAACAACGGTCACGCATATGCGGTTGCGGGAGATGTGTATTTCACGGTGGACAGCTTTCCCGAGTACGGCGCCCTCTCGGGACGCAAGCAGGATGAGAACCGGGCCGGCGAGCGGGTTGCCGTGGACGAGCGGAAGAAGAACCCAGCAGATTTTGCGCTCTGGAAGGTTAGCTCCTTTTTCGCAGAAGACGGGTATTTGATAGACGAGAGACGCTTTCGGAGTTGGGTTGAGGAAAGAAGGGCGAAGCGGATGGTTTGTAAGTTATGTGAAGACCGAAAGTGACGGTATCACAGGACCGGCCGAAAATGACGGTATCATATGACCTCGTCAGAGAAGTCTTGCCGACTTTGCACTTTTGGAAGGGCAGTCGTCGACGTCAATCTATACTTTGACTTTCGACCTTAGGACTTCATCACTCGTCCTTACACGCGATTCGAGAAAGCCACGCAGGATATATTTCATTCAGCGCTGAGAACGGTTTGAAGGGCGGTTGAAACCAGAGACAGGCTGAGACTAGCCGCCCCTCAAACTCACTGGATGATTGACTGTTTGTGGAAGCTTCGAGAGCTTCCCCCTGCAGGCCAAGGATCTCGTGTACTCATTCCCTATCTCGTGGCTGAACCGACTTTTGAAGACCGTGTTCCGGTTTCTTTGGCTCCAATCTACCAATGTCGTTCTGCTTCCAAACCTAGCCCAACCCCTGCTCTTTTCAAGGGCACTCAAAAGCTTGTTGCAAAGCCGGTTGTTTCCCCTCTTCCTGTTCAGTCAATCTTCCCTCCTGCCATTCGCGACCTTCTTTTGAGTACGCTGACCTGATCGTAACATCGCCTTCCAATTTGGCCAAGTTCCAATCCTTTCTTCGTTTGCTGACCCCTGTTAAGCATTGTTTGTAACCCGTCAGGCTGCCAAAGAGGGCAAGCCGTCGTGGGGCCGCGGGCGCCCCGGTTGGCACATACAACCAGCTTTTTGAAACTCTTGTGAAATGTCGAACCAACACTAACCTCTTCGTTTCGTCAAACCTCCAAGTTTTGTTTCCGGCACGCTAATTAGGAACTGACCTCCTTTCCTGATCTGCAAGGCTGCGAAAGAGGGGGAGCCGTCGTGGGACTCCCCATGGACGGGCGGCCCCGTTGGCACTTTCTAACCAGGCTTTCAACCCCAATTTGGTTTCACTACCCACTGGCCCCTTCAGCCAGATTTCTTCAGCTTTCTACATCCTTTCTAGATTCCTTGTAGAGCCCCGATTTCACATATCAACCAAGTTTTCATTCTCTTTTGTTCGGCCAGGTTCCGTCTCTTTTTTCGCTTCGTTAATCCAACCCTGACCTCTTTCTCTAAACCTCCTAGGCTGCGAAAGAGGGCAAGCCGTTGTGGGACTCCCCGTTGGGCCGCCGCTGCCTGAAACAGCTCCACCGACAGGATCCGGTGTACTTGAGAAAAGACTCTAATTGTGATAAAGCAAGTGGGTTTGGGGTGAGCTAAACCTTGCGTTCTCATCAACGCCCCCAGGCTGCAAAAGAGGGCGAGCCGTCGTGGGACTCCCCGTGGGGCCGCGGACGCCCTGGGTGGCACATCATCAACCACGCTTTCGACCCTGGATCCGCTAATCCACGATTACGACGTTCGTTTTTGTTACCGCTGACAAGAATTGGACCTCCTTTCTTAACCCGTCAGGCTGCAAAAGAGGGCGAGCCGTCGTGGGAGTCCCCGTGGGGCCGCGGGCGCCCCGGTTGGCATATCGAGTGCAGCGCGATGTCCGCGGAACACCTCGGGGAGGCGTTCGACATCCACGGGGGGGGCCAGGATTTGGTGTTTCCGCACCACGAGAACGAGCTGGCGCAGAGCCGCGCGGCGTGCGCGCACGCGCACGTGGGCTACTGGGTGCACAACGGCTTCGTGACGGTGGACGAGGAGAAGATGAGCAAGTCGCTGGGCAACTTCTTCACGATCCGGGACGTGAGTCGTTGGCGTTTCTTCTTTACTTGACTAGGGCTCCTTTCTGAAGATGACCTGATTTCGGCGTCCAGAAAATGTGATGATAAACAAGGGGAAGATGAGCACGTCCTTGGGATTCTTCACCATCCGGGACGGGAGTCGTTTTCAATGCTTCCTCAGTCGTTTTGAATGTTGCTACTTGAAGGTATCTAACTCTGGATACAAAAGAGAGAGACGGCGGACGAGGAGAGAATGACAGGTGGAGTTTCCTTACTATCCAGGACGTGACTCGTTGCTGATGCTTCCTGTCGACTGAAGGTGTTCCTTCCCTCCGTAGCTAATCTGGAAACAAACGGAATGGACGGTGGACGAGGAGACGATAAGCAAGTCGCTGGAAATCTCTTTACCATCCGGGACGTGGGACGTTGAAAGTGCTATCTTGAGTCGACCAGAGTGTGCTTCTGAAAGGAACGCGGTTAGTTGGAGACTGAAGAATGTGACGTTGGACGCACAAAATGGACAAGACTCGATGACCTCTTCACCATCCGGATGTGGCTTGCCGTTTGACTCTCGTGTATTTCCAAAGTTCGATCTGTCTTCATTAATGCGACGGCCTATCTTTATGAGAGCTCCATTTACCGGGCCAAATGCTGGTTGCCTATTTATAGCCTAAAGAAGCAGCCAAATCAGCGCTGAGGAAAGGAACCCTTCTGATGGGCAATCAATCAGTTCCGCCTTTGGAGTCGTGGAGGCTCTGACGATCCCCAATTTGGTATTTGCTCTTTGTCCTCTCGTCTAACTTGTTGTCCTGCTTGACCTGGGAGACCCCTCTACGGATAGCAAAACCAAGCAAAAGATGAAGAGAATTTAAACCAGTGGTTTGGTGGGTCTGCGTGCAGGTTTTGAAAGAGTTCCACCCGTTGGCCCTCCGGTGGTTCCTCATCGGCACGCAATACCGCAGCCCAATCAACTACTCACGGGCGCAACTCGACCAGGCGTCGGACCGGCTGTATTATCTTTGCCAGGTGAACAAGCGTTGAATCTCCGCTTTCAGTAAAGAGACAAAACAGATATGAGCTATATGTATTGAAGATTGACTGCCCCGAATTTCTGCTCGGTCCGTCTGGATGTGACACGAGAACTGGGTCGCTATCTGACAGAAAAACAGGACGTGTCGTGGGGCCTCAAGTCGGTTTGGTCGCTTGCGACTGGGACGTTGATTGTCTCCAGTCGTTGGACATCAGCGGCTTGAGCAAGCCGGCGCTCTTTCTTGCTGAATTTTATTGGTACACAAAGAATTCAAAGGTGCAGAGGACATCCAAGGAGACACAGGTTCCAAATCTGGAACGGCGACGTTGCATCCGAGTCTCCGGCCAGTTGACGTTACGGACACCTCGTCAGAAAAGCACGTGGTCCGTGCGCTTTAGGGGCGCGCGAAGTTCAAACTTTGTGGACCGCTGACCGCTCGAAGTCCTCTGCAGCCCGTACAATGCTGTCACGACCTTGTAACAAATGTTGCGATAACAAAAGGCGCGGCCTCGACGAAATGCTTCATTCCGTCTGCGAGAGACGAACAGTCCGTCGATGACATCATGTAACCCTGCTTTTGAGGGCCCCGAGAATTTCAAACGCTGACGGTTGAAGTCCTCTGGCAGACCGTGCAAGACGCGCACGACCCTTTAGTAGCGCCGCCATCCGACTAGCAAATCACTCTATTTTTGGCCACTCTGCGAAGGTTCAAAATTCCATCGAAGATGATCTAAGGCCGGTGTTCAAGGAACCATAAGAGTCCAGTCTTCGCGGACCACTAACGAAGTTCGAAGGTTTTTGCAGCCCGTGCAAGACGCTCACGACCTTTTGGCGGACAGTGCGGACACGGATGGGGTCGCCGCTACAGCGGATTTCTCTGTTCTTGGCCACTTTGCGAAGGTCCAAAATTCCGTCGAAGGTAACTTAAGTACGGTGTTCAAGGAACCATAGGAGTCCAGTCTTCGCGGACCACTGATGGTCGACTTCTTTTGCAGACCGTGCAAGACGCGCACGACCTTTTGACGGACAGTGCGGACACGGACGGGGGCGCAGCGTCCGCAGAAGCGAGCACCAGCGCGGCGGCCCTCCGGGGGGGTTTCGAAGACTCGATGTCGGACGATCTAAACACCCCCAAAGCGGTGGCGGCGCTGTCGGAGCCGCTCAAGCTCATGAATGACCTGATGCACACCAAGAAGGTGCTTAAAACCTTTTGTTTGCTCATCTGTAGTCCCGAGAGTCGGAGGCGGAATGTGTGTGATTCGTTTGGTTGCGGCGTTCTGCTTGGTCTTCTCAGGTGCTCGTTCCACTCCGCCTTGTTCACATCGAAAAGGGTAAGGAACATGGGGTTTTGGGCTCTTGAAAGAAACCTGGGGTTTCAAGCTCTTGTAAGGAAGACGGGGTTTTGGGCTCCGGGTGCGATTATCGGAAACGACCAGCTTTTCAAATACAAATGAGCGCGACGAGCTGAAATTGCGTTCGCCAGTCTCGGAGTAAGGCTGTGTGCTCCCGTAAGGCCCCTTTCTTGAGATCAACGACATGCTGTGCTCATGATTGACCATCTAGATTCTTGAATTCTCTCCAAGTGGTCTCTGCCGGTTTGCATATTGTAACCTTCAGATACTGCATCCGTTCTCGTTTATGTTGCAAAGAGTTGCACACATGGAGCTTTTTGACAAACGCACTACTCACTTTCTCTGTCGAAGGCTGTCCGTTACTCCGTACTGCGATCTTCCGCCGAGATTTCCGACTGGGAAAGTCTGAACCCGCATTGCAAGACGAGGCGCGTCCCTCCTTTTACCTCCTTTGCACTTCCGATTCTGTCGGTGGATGTGAGCGCTGGAACCGCAGAATGAACGATGACCCATAAGTGGAACTTTCGATCTCCGGCCGTGCCTTTGCGGCTGCCTTCAGAATGGGACGCCAGGTAGAATGTCGTCGGTGCCTCGTTTCTGATCCTCGTCATTGCGAATTCCACGCAGGGTCGAAAGGACAAGGCTAGAACAGCCAATCTGCGGCTCTTGTCGAAGGAGGTGCAAAGCGCGGCAGGCATTCTGGGCTTCGACTTGGAGGACGCGCGCAAAGTAAGCGAAGTCTCTGGTAGCCCTAGAGTCCGGGAGCTCGTTCTTTCCCTTTCTTCCTTCCTTTCTTTTTTGCTGACAAGGGTGTGCGCTGCTCTCTAGTTTGTTTTGTCATTGTTTTCGCGTTTCGAGGTCTGTTGTGGCTTTTCGCCAGAATTGGAGTTGCACACGCTTTGGCTATTTCCATTGATGATTCGTCCCCGCGCCGAAAACGATGGGGCCTTGTTGTCTTCTGTTGGGCTGATACCAGATGTAATGGTGTAGCCCCCAAGACTCTGCCAGTCGCGTTGTACTCACGCCCGCCTGTGCCTGTCAGGTTTTGGACGAGTTGAATGCCTACGCTCTAGCACGAGCGAGGATGACAATAGAAGACTTGCGAGCGCGTATGGACGAGAGGGCGGTCGCTAGGGCAGCAAAGGATTTTGCACGCTCCGATAGCATACGAGCGGAGCTCGCGCAAGTTGGGATCTATCTAATGGACGGTGGAGATGGTACGCTATGGAAGCCCGCGCCGGTAGTAGAAAGCGAGTGAAGCTTGGACTGATCGTGCACCACTCCAATTTGCTGGTCCTCTACCAAGTCTTGAGCAAAGTCAGCAGTACAGTCTGTCCAAGGTCGCCAGTGTGCATATGCCCTCAAGTCGAGGGCAGATTTGGTGCCGGTTGATTTGCACTTTCAATGAAGATCCATCGAAGGCTGCACATACCAGAAGCATCTGACTTCGAAGTTGGATGCGATCTCGAGTCTGGCGTGCTTAGATTTCGATATTGGATCATTCTGCAAAGGCGAATCCCAGACTCGATTCGAAAGGAGCCCGGCCTACGAGACAAGCGAAGGCATGGTTTGGTGGGCAACGTACTAATCAATTCTACAGCGCGGCAGTTGACCGGCCAGGGGAGGACGGCAGAAGTTGGTTCAACGAGCCAATCTGATCAGAGTGAAATCAGTCATTTACCTGCAACCGAATTTTCTCATTCAATTGTCCTAGCTGTATATGCTTCAACCGTGTACGACGGTGGACCGGACACTGTAAAACCGGCTAGGTATCCTGTTAACTGCGAAACTCCAACTGGAGTCTTGCAGTTTGATTGCATGCCAGTGCGATATCAATTGATTACGTCGTAACCCGATATCAGGTTTACATGTTGAGTGTGTACGTGTACGTGCCCGTATAATCGTCAATTGGAGTTTTGAACAAGTAATATCCATGCAGAATTGCGCATGCACTTCGCTGCTTTCGTGATGTGGCGCGGCCAGTGACACATACTAGATATGTATGTGCTGCCTGGCAGCGGATCGTATTTCGCACATGAAATTATACCGAGACAGTTCACGTCGCGAGCTCTGGCACGGAATGCATGAATGGCCCATGGCTATCATAGTAGACACGGCGACCGGCCGCGGGGGCACTAGCTGAAATAAGCCAGGCCCACGGTGGGCCGCCTACGCCTGGGGCCTACGTGCAGCTGCCCGGCCCGGGGAACTAGGAACCTAGCCACCCACCGAGCCACCGGCCAGTCCCGGGTACCGGTATGTTATTAGCTTCCGTGCCTACTAGTTAGCTTGCTCAGCTAGGTACAATCATTGCTCAGCGCTCAGGATCCATGATCGTGATGGATGATGGTAGGTTTTAGGGTTTTAGGGTATTAGGGTTTTTAAGGATCGTCTGAATGCGCGGCCGCGCGGGTGCGGTCAGGCCGGATCGGCCCGATATATCGTAATCATTTTGCGAGTAACGGATATCGGAGATCATCTGGGTCGATTCTGTCCACCTGTGACCTCAAATCACGCCGCTTTGGTCTCGACTCGCCAGTCACTCACTTAAGTCTCGGACAATTATGCTGAGCACCTTGAATTAATTCAGCCCTCAAATCAGCCAATCACAGTACACCACATAATCGACGAATCCACGCATGCTAGCTGTGCTGACATCATTCGTGACCCGTCAAGGAAGCGTTTTGAATGATCTGGCTGATCAGGGATCAGGGATCAGGGATCAGGGATCACGGGTCGCCACAAGCTTTCGTATCCTAGATGTCAGCTCAAAGCCGACTCCGTCGGCCTCTCGCTTACTTTTAAGGGTACTTGTCGGCTTCTCCCTTTGGCCCCGGCCTTCGGTGTCGGCTTTCGAGCCGGGTACTTCTAAATCTTGCCGGCTTGTCGGCTTTTCAATGTCCCAGGTGGCAGGGATCACAGCTACCTAGTCGACTTGTGCCGACCCCTGAAATTTCTGATTCTAATTGTCGCTTCACTTGGAGGTTTGATGTGACCTGTCAACAGTCACAGTGTCAGAGACTCCCACACGTCTAGCTCCCACACACACGCAGCACGCTAGTACGACGAAGTAGACTAGCTCCTTTTGTTAGTGTCTCAGGCTCCGTACTTTCGGTTCAGGACCCAGGTCCTTTGAAAAAAAATGCGTCAGACTGTCAGCTTTACCGTACACTTTGCGGTACAATTTCTATTACGGGTGGAATCGGGTCAGGATAAATGGCTTGCAACACTAAAACCAAAAGAACTCTGCCCGGTTGTCACTGTCAGTGACCAACCCTGTTGTCACTTGGAAATGGCGTAACCCCAACAAAGCGCTGGTTGATTGCCGTGAACCGTCACAGGTTTGCAACGTAACCCTAATGTCACAGAGAGTGCCCCGGGTCAATGTTAATGTCATTGTCAGTGTCAATGTCAGTGGCTAACCGCTGAAAGTTCAGGTGCTTCCAGGTAGGTACTTGAGAGTGAATCACACCACTCAGAGTGGCGGACACACTAACATAAGGAGTCTAGATAGTTTTGCCACACGGACAGGTGCGCACTGGCACTGAGGCTTCATGCAAGCCCCGGGCCCAGGGCTCAGGCAGCAATGTTGAGCGAGTCGTTGCTTTCTCTCTTGCAACTTGCAAGTTGCGATCACCACTTGGACGGACCGAGAAGAAGCAAGCAACCCCGTGGGTTGCACATTCTGAGGCTGCCCGCCGCTCTCGACGTCTTCGGACTCTTGACTTCACTCCCACTTCACTGTTGAGCAACACCCCTCCGGCCCTTCTCCTGCTGTCTCCAAATTGAGCTCCATATGTTGTCAGTCTTCAATTAGGCAGCATTGGCTTCTTCCTGGACGAGTACATTGTCAGCCTTGTATACCCCTCAACTAGCTAGGCTTGAAGGCAGAAAATGGCCCCTCAGCAGCACAACATGGCCGCCGCCGCACCGCAGGGTCACAGCAACCCCCTGTGGGAAGCGGGGCCCAAGGCCTCGGGTGACATCAGCGGAGGGAAGAAGGAAAGACACACCTGGGAGAGCTTCGGGAAAACCCTCGCTACCCCCAAACATGCCCAGGGGGGTTTCTTCTCGATGCCCTTCGACCTGTTCCCGTGAGCAATTTCCTTCCAAACCTTGATAGCAAGTGTCAGCTCTGAGATCCTGGGTTTGCTGCCTAATTTGAGCCGTCGCTCACATCCCCTTGTTTCCACCCTGCTCCTTGGTTTTCCACGGAACTCCCCTTGGCATCCCCAAAAAGCTGAATAGGCTGGTTCAATGGATGACAAATTCTCAGCATCCTGATGCAAGAAATACTGGTCCAAGGAAACGGACCCCGACCTGCGAGAGTTTCTGTGTTCAATGCTGAGGAAGTACATGCACAGTGCCAAGAATTGCTTGCAGAAAACAAGTTGACAGCCCTTCTTTCCCTGACTCTTCGAACTTTCTGCCTCGGTCAACCCAAAAAAGATGTCAACAGGAGCGTAGACCAGCTCTCTTGTTCGCTTAAATAACATGGACCAATGTGAGTCACACTGAGCAAGCAAACAAGCTGCCTAGCTTGGGATGACATGGTAGATCTTGACACTGACTCGGTGCCCATGCAATGCAACGAGTGGCGGTGTCGCTCAACCAGCAGCTGTTTCATGCAACCCTCTGATGCCAGGAATGTTGGGTTGATGTCAACAGTCTTGGGCAAAAGTAGAATTTAACGTCTGCAACTGTCCAGGCATGGTGTCTATTTTCTCTCTAGTCATCAAATTGCTAGTTACAAGAGAGCTAAGTGAATTACTGGAAGGAATAAGCTCTTCGTTACGTGTCTCATTTTGATATCGCCACAGTGCAGATTTCCAGGCTTGTTTCAGAAGCAAACATCACTGCCTCCTGAATTCTGTGTTGTAGCTCTCTCAATCGATCTCCAGATCTCGCTCTTGCTTGACGCTTTTCTAATTTGGTTGTCTCACACCTATTCATTCACGCTGGCAGCTAAACAGAGAGCCCAATCACTCTTGGTCCTCATTATGACACCCCTATGATCAGCATCTTCCAACATTGTCATGCACTTAACCCTACCTAACCGTGCAGGTACCATCCGGCAGAAGAGGCAGAAGAGGTCAAGTCGTGGTCTGGATTCCTGCTGACCGTTCTGAGCGTGCTTATCTTCCTGGCATTCAGCGGCTACAGTAAGTCTACTCAACTATGCTGGCCCTAGGTTGCGCCCTTGCTTTGACTTTGGTACCTTATAGTGCTCGCCATAAGATTTGAAAGTAAAGCTCGGTCCGCTTTTGCAGTCTGCATATTCTTTTGTGAAATAATAGAACCAAACAAGAGGTGGGGTGCAACTGTAGGTCTGGGGTCTGGCGCAATTGCTTCCTTCAGTTCTCTATTTGGGTCTGGACTCTGCTCATAACCTTTAAGAGCCCATCCTGGTTAGCTAACCCATCCTGGTCAAAGAAGCTGACCAGCAAAACTCTCTGCGCCCCAGCGATCGAGCTATATGCCACCCAGACTTTCCAGAAGTCGCTCGCCACAGTGGCCTTGAATCCGAACATTGCCGTGACGCCCCAAAGCAACCCAATCCTCTTCCAGGTAAGGAACAAACCGCCCCAACCCCTGAAAAAGGGTATTCACCTCTTTGTACCCTCCCATTCAATGTCAGTCCCGCTGCAAGTAAAACTTGTGAGCTGGCAAATCTGGGCTCCTTCTCGTGTCTCTGCTGATTGGAACGTGACCTTAGCATGATTCATTCTCCAAAATGCATCCTACTCCATTGGAACATGAGCGGGCTTTGAGGGTCGGGCAAAGCTGTGAGGCAAGTTGGCTTAGAGGCTTTCCTTTCTGTGCTGCTATGTGTGGCGCGTTTTCCAAACCTTCAGATTATTAGAAAAATTACTGGGCGAACACACCTGTCAAAACGGAGTCGAAGTTGGTCGCAAAAAAGCTAAAAGTAGACTCGAAGAAAATCGATACTTGAGAAACCTGAACCCAGATCCAGCACATACACTAGAGACTGAACGCAAAAGCGCAGACAAAGGATTAGAAGTTAAACCTTTTCCTACGCAGGCCGAATGCTAATCCGCTTCATCAAGCAGCTCGAAGTTGTCAAACCTTGAACCCGAAAACTTGACACCTGCAGGCCGGGATGCTGATGCGCTTCATTGGAAACGGCAGCTCCTTCTCCGACCCGACGATCTTCAAGTATGCCTTCAGCGCCAGGGCGGTGTTGTCCCAGGACTCAAACGGGAAGAGCTCCCGCCTGAACACCCCCCTGAACCTCACAGAGTGCACATTCACCACGGCGCAGGGGAACTCGGGGGGCGATGGCATCTGCTTCGACTACGATTCCAGTCGGAGTGAGCACCAAGACTTGGGAACACTGCACCTTAGGAAACTTTCTTGCGGTACCGGATTACGGGATATGTGCCTTTGTGCGTTGTGCATTTTCACAGCGATGGAAGGCAGAATGTATTTCAGGGGTTGACGGCTTCTGCTGCGACTACGAATCCAGTCGGAGTGAGGGGCAAGACTTACGAACACCGCACCTGAAGAAACCTTTTGAGGTTCCGGATCATTGGGTCTGTGCCTTTTTACGTTACTTTGCGTTTCTGCATTTTCGCAGCTGCGCAATGTAATGTTCTAGGGCGTGACGGCAACTTTTTGACAAGGAATCCAGTCTGAGTGAGCACCAAGACTTCAAAACAGTTACCATAGCATTGCTTGTCTTGAGCTTCCGGATTCTCAGATCCATACCTTTGTGCGGTGAGCATTTTGTCCGCGGCGCACATGCAAATTTGGGGGTGACGGCAGCTGCTTCGGATAAGTGTCCGGTTAGAGTGAGCAACAAGACTTACAGGGTTTCGGGCTTGAAACACCCTAAGGTATCGAAGCCTGGTTGTACTCAGTGCTTCCTCGGCATGGTGCATCTTCTTGACGTGCAAGGGCCTTGTCAGAACTGACGGGTGCGCTTTGAATCAACGGTTCTGGACACAGTAAGCACTGAAGATCTTTCTTTCCAAGGGCCGATCGTTTTGCGGTCCTGCGCTTGCGAGATTGGAAGATCTGTGGGTGTGATGCATATGGGTGGGATCGAGCTTTCAGTAACATAGGAAAGCGCCCTGATGCCAAAGTACACTGGCTTTTAGATACGTGTTCAGGCAGAGGGACCACAGGAACCTCTGCAAGCCAGGTTCTTACTGCACTTCAGTTGACCTGAAGTGCTGTAAGAAAATCTGGCCGCCCAACCAAGTTCGGTATCCGTTTGCATAACACTCATTAGGTATCGCTTCGTTTGCATCGGGCACGACCGAACCCTTTTCTGATGACCCTGGGAACCCGTCGCTAACCCTTTTTGTTTGTGCAACAGACCTTGCCATCTTACAAGGCGACTACGGCTTCCCGTTCTACCGCTACATCCAATTCGATATCCTGTCTTGTGTCAATGGGACCGTGCCAGGTGAGCATCTAGAGTCCCAAAGTTTTTCGAACTTTTTCCGACGTTCGAATCCGTTCTTTTCAAGAGCGCAAAGTAGCGAAGCTCCAAGAAACCAACTTTGAGACTCTACTTTCACCAGAAGCCTGAAACGAAACCGGTTACAAAATCCGCAGGCAAAGGCTTCTCCGCTTTGATTTGAGTCCATGTAGCAAATGGGCAAATCGACATGAAATCAAACTGCAGCTGTTCTCAAGGTGTTTGTTGCTTTGTTAAACGCAATTCGTCGTTCCAAAGTCTGCCTGAGTGCCTTTTCTTCGAGGACCTGCGCCTTCGATGGCGAAGGATAAGTGCTTGTGGGCTCATGCAGATTTACGGCTGTCGACATCGCTACATAAGGATAGCCTGAGACTTCGCGTTTCCAATAAATCTTCAAGCCCAGCAGTAACTGTTTCAATGTGGATGTATCTCAAGCTAGAATCGATACTTCCTCACAGCGAAACCCTTCCAAACCGCGGGCCTTGTATTCGTTGCGTCTGCAGGCGTAGTATGCAAGCCCCAGGCGTTCATCGACAACTTTATCTACAACCAAATGGAGGCCGTCTTCATCACCTCGCACGACGTGTGGGTGGACGACAACGTGCACATCGGCGAGCCAATGAAGACGCGCCACCTGTACAGCAGCTCGCGCTACGACTTCCCCACGGGGATCGCACAGAAGGTGCGGAGACCCAAGGAACTTACAAATGTTTTGGAGATCATGACGACTACGTTCATAATCCTGGAGGCCGGAACTTATTCTGAGGGATGTCTGCTGTAGGGTTTCCAGTATTCTTGTCTTTTACACTCCTCTCGGGATTGCAGGCATTCGAGCTGAGTATTGGCATTTGACAAAAGGTTGGTTGTGGGGGCCAGCGTGCTCTCACGGACACGCTGTAGAGCTGTCTCAAAACGAGACCATAGTTACACGAAACAGTTTGAACACCGGAAAGGATTATTGGAGGGGCCCTGGGGCTTAATCAGCGGGTTCGTGCACTCGTCCTGCTATAAATTGTCTCCTTATCAAGTCGACGGTCTGTTGAACCCTTTTGATATATTCTGGACTTGTTCTTCTCGATTCAATCAACAATATGTCTTGTAAATACCAAGCTCTCGACCTTACCGAAATCCTAACCAAAGGTTCATTCACGCTCCGCATCCGCATCCAGTGTTACCCCCCAGCAGACCCCACACGTCCTGGGAGTTCTGTCTTCCTTATTGGTCACTGCGTTTCCATTAAAAATTTTATGTATTATTATTTATTGAAATTTATTTCCTGAAACTATGCTTTAACAAAAAATCTTATTTAGCACATTTTGGGAATTTGTTCCGACTACTAAGATACTCGATATGCTCAAATTATGAAAGAGAAACAATTGGCTGGTTCTAAAGGGATGTCCAATTTTTGTTTAAAAGTGGCTTTCTATTAGCTTGTTGGAATTATGGTCAATCTAATGCAGAAGATGAGAAACGGGAAATTATTCTTCACCGCGTCAACTTGGATGCTGACTTTCACACGTCTGCCATAGAAGCAGCACCTATGTCAATTAAATCATCAAGAGTTCTTGAGTCTGGGACCGCTTCTTGGTTCGGGACTCCGTGTTCAGCAGCGTTCTCTGCAGACCAGTAGAAGAATCTGAGGAGAAACTTAAAATGAGGCACGCCATGCAACTCTGGTAATTTAAGTGCTTCCTTGTGGCGAGTCAGGAAAGTCTGACTCCGAGCCGAGGTTTCAGATGCTTCACCTTTATCAAACTGCGCAACTCGCGAATTCGAGGACACTCACGAGCTGCCCGCGTTTCCCCCTTTTCCCAATCATTCAGCTACGGACAGCCTATCTCTCTGACACATTGGGGAGACGAACACATTGGGCCTCTACAACTCTAGGACTCTGGGCCTGACAATGACGTCACGTCTCTTGTGCGCGCGCGCAGGTGGACGTGTACTCCCAGGTGCGCGTCCTAACGAAGAACAGCCCCGTCGTCAGCTGGAGCGCCCTCCAGACCACATACCAGGTGAGCCACGTGGCGAGCGGTGATTCGCTCCTTTTGAGTCCGTAGACTTTGCGGAAGCGAGGGCGGTGGCAGTTCTTAGCAAAGCGTTTTTGGACGTGATTAGCACCCGAAGAACGATTCCGACCAAGTCTTGCCATTTTGGGTATGTCTTTTGATCCGGCTTTCAGGGCTTGAAGTGCGGAGTGGAGTAATCTTCGCGCCGTCTCATTTAGAGGCGGATTTCAATCCATCAGCCAGGAATTTGTGCGTCTAGCCCCGCGCGGTATCACAATCTCTTCAAAATATGCTCATACAGGGGTCTGCCCCGTTAGAAATCGTATTCGGTCCGCGTATGCTCCGGTTCCGCCCTCTTACGCAGGACATCGCCGGTGAGCCGTGCATGAACACTCTCGCAAATGCCTGAGATTTTACGCCAGTCCTTTCCCAAGTGCCCTCATCCCGCGCGCTTATGCGGAGGGCCAGCTGACAAACATCATGCACTAACACTACGCATATAGCCCTCCAAAACGCTGCCGGCTTATGCCCGCGCCACTTGCTTATGCAGGACAAACAGCATGGTGGGCCAGCTCGTCACCAACGTGCCAACATCATATTCAGACTTACTTGCCCCTTATGCTCCTTTTCCGCCCGCTTATGCAGGACATCACCGTGGGCCAGCTGCTCACCAATGTCCTGTCGACACGTAGCGCCCCTACGGACTCGTACCTCAAGATGTACCTGCGCCTGTCCGCTGACGTCGTCACGTCCGAGTTGTCGTGTCAGCAGGACTTCCTCAGCATGCTCTCGTCACTGGTAAGCTAAAAACTCGTACTTCTGAGTTCACGAGTTCCGACCGTTCCGGTCGTTCCGCTGACGCTTTCTACCGCTTTAGAGTGCAACTCCTTTACCATGGTCTCGTATCGAGTAAGCAAGAAACCTCTAGTGTTTTTATTGCACGACTTCTACCCGTTCCCGTTGTTCCGCTGACGCTTTCGACGCCGGTTTGAAAAGATTCTGCCGATGTGACTTCCTCAGCGGGCTCCTCTACAGCCCGACGAGCAATACCAAGAGCGATCACTTAAGAGTCTTCGTAGCCACTTTTAGTTACGTGCGTCCGTTCCGTTCGCTCTCGGCCTCGTTCCGCGAATGTCTCGCCCAGTCGCCAAGAGCTGCGATCTTGAAGATCCTCACCGTTTGACTCATCCGGAAAAGTTCCTCCGCCTTTCGAATGGGCGCTTGTAGTCAGCACGACGTCCTGACAAATGTTCCAAGCGTGGGAGAGCGCTCGTGCAGCTTCCAGACAAGCTCAAACGGAAAGAGCGCAGGCTTTTCCCCTCAATCTCTGAAACACGCTCCGATTCGCCAATGTGTCGACGGTTGGACCACAAATCTGCAACGAGATGCCGCGACTTTTTCGAACGGTTTCCTGCCAACGTCAGTTTGTCGTCTGCTTTTTTTTTAAACACGCAATCTCTTTGCTTTGCGGCCCCCTGGAGCCTTTCACCCCGGCGTTTCGTGGCTTCTTTTAATCCCCCGTCATAACCGACCGCCCCATGACTTTGATGAACAACGATACCGTCTTTTTCTCTCTTCACCCCTCCGATTCCTAGCTGTTTCCAGACCGAGGTCACGCCGTTATGACGTGACGCCCTCGCTCCTTACGCGCAGAGCTCACCCGTGCATCTTGTATCGCAGGGTTCCATTTACGCGCTGCTGATGCTCGTGTTCGGCAAGCCCGGGGAGCTGTTGAACGGCTGGCTGTACGCGCGCGCGAACCGGCCGACCCGGGAGGGCTCCGCCGGGTCGGTGGAGCGGGATCCGGAGCTCTAGACGGGAGCCCGGCGATTATTTTGCAGCTGAGGGGAAGTGGGGGGGGAGTATAATCTGCGTTTGCAAGTCGGGGATCGATCCCCGAGGGAGGTTTCGCTTTTAGCTCTGCTTGGTCAAGGGCCGGCGGTTAAACAGACTTCTCACCCTCTCTTTCCGGTAGAAGGGCCAGAAAACAGCTACCAATGTTGGTTAACGGCAGGAGTCCTCTGTGGGAGATGGCGCGAGAGGACAAGTTGCAGGTAGGGAGGATTGCTTGCAGTTGGCGGGAATGGCCGGCGGTAATTTTGCACAGTGGGGAGACGTACGGAAAAGCCGGTTAGGAAACCGAGCAGAAAAGTCACGAAAGCAGGGGGCGACTTGTTAGCGGGGCGACTTATTAGCGGAAACAGGACACGGAGGAAGGGAAAAGAAGAAGCGAAGTTTGGTTGTTGCATGCATAGGAGAGATTTAGAGTTGGTTCAGGCGCAGCACGTTGCGGCCGACGTGCTCCGCTTGGTGATAGTTTCTGGCAAGCAAGACCATTATAAGTCAGAATATATATATACCTTGTATGTTAACTAGAACCTGTACGTATTTATTTATTGGGCCGTTTGCCGGCGAAGCGACCGCTTTTTGGAGCTACAGTTGGGAGAGCAGCCTGGGAGGCCGTTGCTTTAGTATGCGGACGAAGATCTAGACGAGGCGCGTTGGATACTTCGTCGTAAATTGCTGATCTACAAATTCAGCTAGCTAGACTTGCCAAATCAAAACTTTTATTATTGGTTTAGAGGCTTGTGCAAGTACTGAGTTGTGGACACTGGAAGCAGGATCATCAACCCCTCCAGAGTCAATTGCACAACTTGAAGGATCAAGCTAAGAAGCAATAATACATAGGCCTTCGGCCTATATTTTAAAGTCGATTCATTCATCCTTTCTTATTAATTCGAAAACCGTCATCGAAAGGTTGCGTTTTTACAAGGATCGACGGGCTAGCTTTCATCCATATAAGCGACTTGCATGATCTGCGAGTCCACTCAAGCTAGCCACGATGAGCCGTCATGAAGGTCGTTTCCTGGCAAGTTGTTCCCGCAATCATTGATCTTTGATGGCGCTGCCAGCCACTTATGATGCAGCCTATCAAGACATGTATGTGATTCAGTCCTCTCTAGACGTCCGTACGTCTTGCCTTACAGTCTTTCATGCATGACATGGTCCGATCCAGATTGAGTCACTCCGACCACTTGTTGCGATCTGCGCTAAGCTAGCTCGCACAGCGCCAATCACAGGGCGGGTTGGCTGCGAACCGGAGCCACGAACCGGATCGGCTCCGGATTGGCTCCGGTTCCTGCCCTGAACAGGCGAAGCGCACAATTCTGAGATGGCCGAAACGCTGTCACAGCCGTCCGATCTTCACCTAATGAAGCCAGTCTGAAAGTGCATTTGGGCGTTAGGTGTTAGCGACCAGGACCAGACTCGTAAGCTTGACCCCCGCTCTTGGGCTGGAAAGAGCAGATCGGAGCCGTCAATCTGTTGACGTTGACAAGATGGACGATAGTGATAGCCTCGCCGCTTGTCCCTCAGCCATTTGGAAATTGTGCGTTCCGCCTGTGAAGCACATTCCGCTTTGTGCGAACCGGACCCAGCGCTCCGGTTCGCCAGCAAACCGGCTCCGGTTCGCACAAACCGCGCCCTTCCGAAGTCCGGTTCGCGCGATCCGGAACCTTGCTGCACCCGGTTAGTGCGAACCGGCTGCAAACCGGAGCGGGTTCGAGCAAACCGGGCTCGAACCTGCCTCTGCTGGGTTCAAGCAGGGACAAGTAGCTACAAATACAGTAAGGACGTCAATTGGAGACCCATCCAGAAACGGGGAAGTAAACATTGCAGTTCCAAGTCAAACCGAGTCAGTTCGGGGAGCCAATGAGATCAAAGGTTTCCTTAAATTGCGTTGCTGTTCTTGAATAAGTCCAGATGCGGCGTCCTCGTCCAGGTCTATGTCACGTCCGTTGAGCTCAGGCTAGCTAATCTCGGATGCTTATTGCTAATTAGGCTACCTTGCCCTTTCTAAGGTGACCTCCAGCTAAGCTGTACTTCTTTGTGGAACTTGCAGGCGGAGGTGCAACAGAGTCGGCCTCCAGATTGAGGCCGAAAGGAAGTCTGCGGCTGCAAGAAAAAAGAATGAGGGGGTCACTTAAGGGACCAGGATAGGTGATAATGAGAACAGAACAGACGCAAACGCAAACGCAACCGCACACTGCTGCTCATAGTTCTTGAATTGTGTCGACGTAGAGAATTGCGGCTTCGACATAGAACAGGTCTTTGGCAAGAGAGTAGACTGTTGAACGAAAATTGACAAAGCAGAGACGAAGACGAACCAGGCTTCATGCGCCGCTCCGAAACTAGGCACGAATTGAACGAATTAAACGACTTTGTTGTGTTGAATTTGAACAGGTGTCGACTATAAAAGATCACTGAGTGACGATGTATCAGAAGCACGCTTACTTTCATTCGACTCAAACAATCGTGATGACAGACCGGAACAATCTTCATGGGCACCTTTCAGATATGCATGCTTTCCTTGCGATACCAGTCATAACGGCACTGAAGTCCGTTCTCTGTTCGAAGAACGCGAAGCGTACTAATGGTAACTAGCTAATCGGTACCTAAACCGTAACGAGAACTTACTCACCAGTCACGCAAAGCCACGTGGCACTATGACGCATTAGCATCGCACGCCGTATCTCCTCCCATTTCACGTCCTCGTACACGCGCTCCGTCTCCAGTACTACGGCGCCACCTAAGCGCATTAAGCCTTTACGGTGCGCATCTTAGCGTACGCCACCGAGAGACATTGAGAAGCTGGTGTTTCCTAAAACTGCAGAGTTTCAGTGGATAAGATGAAGAACCGCTGAGAAGCTTTGATGGGTTATCGAGGTGAATTTTGCCGTTCCTACTGAAGTTTACGGTACCCTTTTTGAACGACGCGCACAGAGTTCCATTCAGTAAGATGGAGGCCGTGCAAGCGGGATGCACTCCTCGCATGCTCCCTCAAAGAATGCTAGGGCACCTTTCAGGTCGAAGAGATGTACGAAGGAATTGTCGGATAAGCAAAGAATCTTCAATTATCAACCCGCGAGTCGAAAGTGGCTGCATGGGCTTCAGTTTCAAGGGCTATTATGAAAGATAAGCTCTTGTGAGTATCGAGGAAGAGACGGACTCGGATCAACGTTGCAGTCTGATGCAACCGTGTTTCTAATCCTGCCCTTCTAAACCCTCGTCAGTCCCGCTGACGACCTTTATAGGCAGATCAGCTGTTGTTCCCTTCATCGTTTGCCATATCAGCAGATCTCGGGCTCCCAAGCAGGAGCTCGACCGGAAGCCTCATATTGTCTTCGTGCTCAAGGTTGGAACCTGTTGCAATCCATATGACTGATGAAGCGTCCCCTTATGCTTTCCCTTGAAGGAGATGCTGAAAAGCGGGATCCTTCACCTCTGCGGAGAGGACACCACGGGCTGGAACGAGCAGTTCACCATGCTTACGTCATACGAGCAGCAAGCCGCTGAGGCGGCCGCGGCCAGCTTGACACCGGGGGACATGGGGCTCGAGCAAACCAAGCTGCGCATTCGCGAAGACTTCCGCTATGTGCTGACTGCAAGAAGAAGGTAAGGCTTATATGAAGGAAGCAAGGGTTAGGCAGTCGGGCGTCTTTGAAATTGAATATGTGAACGGTCTCCGGTCTTCAATCATTGTGTCCCCGTTCTGCCGCTTGAGTTTTTTTGGAGATCGTGTCCACAGAAAACGGAAGATACTCTGGTTCGTTTCCAGAAGGCGACAATAGGTCGCTCGTACGATATTCTTACCTGTAAGGACTGGTAACTGATTCGAAGGACCCGCAAGCGTGATCATAACGCTTGTGATCCAGGTTTGTGGCAAAAGAGTTGCATGAGGACAACAGCGTGTATCCGATTTCAATGTCCCGTTTTGACAGATTGCTCACACTTCTCACTCTGCTCTCCTCTGCAGCAATAACGGGAAAACTTGAGTTCGAACGCAGAAACAGGTAAGCTAGCTGAGTCTCTTACAGCATTGGGCGCTTCCCTGTAGTAACTCGGGCAGCCATCGGAGCTTTTATGTGCCCATCTGCTTCAGCGAAAGCTCTCTCCGTGCTTCGCGCGATAGGGAGTGTGCACACTTCCGTTTAGCTTGGCAATTCGCATCCCAGATTCAGACTGGCGCCTCTTGTTCGTAAGCATCAATGGTGCAACGCGCCCTTCTCCTTTAGGTCACTTACCATGAACGGCCGCGGTTCTGACGGAATTCTGTTGTTTTTGTTTGGTGCAGGTAGTCGCAGCCTAGGTAGTCAGCCCGAAGTCGTCCTAGTTTCAAGGCATCAAAATCAGCTGTACACTGCAAGGGTGTCCCCGGACTCATTTTGCTGTTCAATACAAGTCCGGTGAGCACGATTCGGACTGTGGCAATGAACGACACTTTTTGTAAGTGGGCTCGTTGCCCTTTTTAATCAGCTGGTCGACAACACGCACTCCAAGTCGCTGGACGTCTACGCAAAGTCGTTTGTCCCAACGATTGCCACGTGCACCGAGCTTGTGTGAAGTCAAAAGAGTGCTTCCGGGATCTCCCTGAAAGTCATATCCTGTCGTAACCCGCAGTCAACGTCAGATCCGCGTGCTTTGCGGTGGACTTCGGAGTTTGTGCCGGCAGGCTTGGGACTGCCCTGGGTCTTACAAACCGTCTTGGAGTTTTCCGACAACTACTAACCGAAGAGATAGCCGCCTTTACTGACGTCTTTCAGAATGTTGGGTTGTGTGACCTTTGCGAGATCGATGATCCGAATTCTTGTAAACGAAATGAGAAAGGGTGAGCTATCGCTGTATCAAAACTTTCAACATAGTCTCCATTTCTTTCAGTTTCCAGTTCTTCTCTGCTTTCACCGTTGGTTCGACGCGTGCGGAAGTCCGAATATGGTCGCAAAGGCAGCAAAGAGTACGCGGCCCAGGCAGACTAAGGGGTTTCTATTTCATTAGCGGGTCCCGTACTTCGACGCTTGGCAATAGTTCAGGCGCCGCAACCCGAGTATTGAAGCCGTTAGTTCTTGAGCTATAGTCCTCCCTAGTCTTTACAGTACGTTGTTCCGGAATGCGCTCCGTTTCCGCTCCGGTTCGCCAGCCAGAGAGGTTCTGGTGGCCAGAGAACCGGAGCGGAATTCCTTTCCGGTTTGCACAAATTGAGGCCTGAGACCGGATCCGGTTAGGGCCAGGTTCGCGCCAAACCCGTTCCGGTTCGTTGGACCGGTTTGCTCAAACCGGACCCGCGAACCGGCTCCGGTTCCTCCGCCACGTTTCCGGACCTGGCAGGGGGCCCGGTTCGGGTCCGGTTCGCGTGAAACCGGCCTCGAACCGGGGGCGAACCGGAGCCAAACCGGCTCCGGTTTGCAGCCAACCCGCCCTGTGCAACGTCTACATGCGATTTACTGACTACTTTTAATGACGATGTGCTGTAGAGCGCAAAAGGATTGCTCATAGTTCAATCGGACATGATGACCGTACACCTAAATTAAGAGAAGTCTTTTAGGGGAAGCTCGTCACACACGGGCATTGAGTTCATGGCAAGGATTGTCGGAGTCATGACAGTCAGTGGCCGTCCAGCTACTCTCAATTCTGAATCAATTCCCGACGGTTGCAGCTGCTGGCAAGTCTGCAAGGTGACTTTTCGTTCATATGCATATGGAGTGCATGCAATTGTACCTTGGTCATGCACAAACTTTGGCTAAATCTATGAGAGATTTATTTGGAGACAAGTAATTGAGTTATTGACAGTCCAAACACCTATAGATACAGGAATGGAGAGCCTGTAGAAATTCGCGACTAAAATTGTTTTGGTCAGCTCAGGGCACTCAGTCGGTTTTTCAAAAAGGGACAGAAGCATGTCGGCATTCCTCTACAATTACAATGTCAACGCAGTCAATGGAGGCGGTATGGCTGGCACAGTCTTATTCAGAAAGGTCGACCAACTCTACCAGTGCGAGACCTATCAGAATCCCTAAGTGATTTGGACCTCGAGGCACGCTTGCAACCACGTGCCAGGTTCCTGTTCTCCACGTGGCGTGCCTCCACTCGTTGGCTCATGTACCCAGCTCTTTCCAGCGCGAAGAAATCGGTGTTGCACTGTTTGAATGTCTTGAGCCAGTTCGCTAAAACTAGGGGGACTTGCGGCCCAGTTTGGAGCCAACTTGTCATCATTTGGAGGAAGCTGTGAATCAGGAGGCTGGAATGGCCCTATTGTTCATGCTTGACGAGGGAAAAAGGTTAAGCCTAACGCTCGTTCGGCAACAGCCGTCATTTTGACGCTGCGGGTCTGACCTTGGAGCGCATTTGCTCCAGCCCTGAAGGCTCCATTTGGGAGCGCACTGGCGTATTCGTTTTGGTTTGATTGAGTTCTCTCGTCCCTTCAAGACTCTGCGAGCAGAGCCCACCATTCATCCTCCCCGAAGAACCCCTTGCCGACACGTGGCAGCTCGGGACACAAGCCGAAGTCCCCCCCGTTCTGCCCGCTCTGCAGCGACGAGTCGGAGCTCTGCCACCTATACGAACCGGTGCAAGCAACCGGTTCGCAGGACAGCGAAGAAACACCGCCCGGGAACTCCGCCCCGGTTAGTCCGCCAGCATCTGTGTTACCCTCCTGAGGTAACTCCCCCCAGACGATCCCCCCGGATGCTTCATGCCATCCCGTTACTTCGTGATTCAACGGAACTCCCCCGTCCCTCGGCAGTGTTGTCTCCACCTGTGCCACCCCCCCGAAACGGATCCGCTTAGCTGGGGCCGCTGTTGCCACGCCCCGGATCTCCTCCCCCGACCGGTTATCAACTAACAGCACGGCCTCGGTTCCGCCCAGGGCGCTAGCCCCGGGCGGAGGTCCTCCGCTCCCCTTGGTTATGCTCCCGGCCTCCGACGACGACCGCCGCAAACCGGTCGCGGAAGGCTTCCCCGGTTCTTTCCCCCGGGCGCGGATGCTTTTCCCGGGGGATCCTTCAGTTGCGAGGGAGTGCAGGAACGTCAGGGCGCACCGCATCTCGCTGTGCTGCTCCTGGAGACGGGCCAGCTGCGGGGGGGTCAATACCAGGGACAGCCCATCCCCCTGCTGCGCGAATTCCATCTGCTGCGCCGCAATGAGCCCCTGGATATGCTCGGTTACCAGTTCGGTTAGGCTCAGGTCGGGGGCGGTGACCCCAACCGTCTGTGTTTGGGAGGGGGGGTGATAATCTATGCTGACCGAGACCCCCCCCGGGAGCAAACCGCTGCCTTTCCGCCTCGCCCCACTCTCCTCTAGATTAACATTCTGTGCGAGGACCTGACCGGTACTCTGCCCCGAGGCCCTTTTCCGCTTCCGCTCAGTCGCGCCCCACTCCGCACAGCCCTTGATTTCTGACGTCACGCCTGGGACGCACGCTGACGTCATCCCAGGCACGTACGCCGGCGCAGCCCCCGTTTCGTAGCAGCTTACCAGCCCAGCTAGCTGGAATTTGTAGGGAGAGGTCTCGATGAACCGCGTTCTGTCAAAAGGGGTGTCCATCGCCCAGCTTCCAAGGGGCCTGTCTGGTACTAAAGTTTGTTGGGGGGACTCGAGGGAGTGACCCACAACCCGTTTCGCCCCCCGTGTTTTGCGCGGGCGGCTGAGACTCTCCTGGTGAGGCCGGCAAACTTGCAGGGCGTCCAAAGGGTCGAGTGACCTTAGGAAACTGGGAGTCGTAGCTGGTCGGCCCTTGTGGCGGTTCGCGGCTCAGGTTTGCCTCGGGTTTGGAGCTTGGGACCGGGTTTGCGCTTTGGACTTCACTGGGGCCCAGTGGCGGTCGCCTGGAGGGTTACTTGAAACCTGAAGTGCTCATTAAGTTTGAAGGTTTAGGGACGACATAATGGGTCCAGAATGGGATTAAGCTGTGCTTGAGGGTAACCCCTTCTAACGTCAAGGTGCAAGTTGTGGGCTCTTTGGACGTGGGAGTTGTTGAGGCAGTCATGAATGGGAAAAGTCGCCCGTTTTTCCGCCCGCTTCACACTCTGGTTGGCCCCACTTGCGCTTGCCCCCCCCAGTGAACCCGCTACGTGCTGTGTAGCGCACAGCGTCTCGTGCTTCTGCTGTAAGCCTGCAAGGACGAAGACAAAGGGTCTGCCAAATTGCATTTAGTAACGGGTGTCCTCTGCTAACAACTCGTGTGGCTCGTCGTTGGATAAAGAAGTGGGTCAAAATAGTGAAGGTCTAACAGAACAAGAAGTTTGTATGATAGACCCTTTAATCAGAAGGTCCGGAGGCCCCTCTTATCAGTGAGTTGCACAACTGGACATGCTCTCACTTCTTATAGGAATGAAGAGATTGTTCAAGTCAGAGACAGTAACAAGGAAAGAAAAGATCTCTCAAGGATGAGTACAAGCAAGGACATTTGGAGACAAGCCACAGAAAGCTGATTGGGGTGGAGGAGAAGGGAAGATAAAATAAAGAGAAAACCCCTTATCACCGTGCATGCTTACTTCACCTACTAACAGTCCTGATTGAGCATGACTCATTCTTTAGCGTCTGACAAGGCTTTCCGATCAAGAACAGCTTGTTCATCTGCGTTCAGAATCAGGTACCAGCATATTTATCCTAATGAAGCTGAAGTCCTTAACTGAGTTCCCAGCTGAACCCACCATTTTCCAGCTGACTCTCGATTCAAAATACTGGTTTTAAGGCTGGAGATCTCCCTGATTGATTGTGGGCAGAGCTGCACTAGCTGCCTATACAAACAAAGACGCCTTCCAAACCCATTCAGTTCATGCACCTTCTTGCCTCTCCTTTCCACAAGACATGTAGACAAAGGTCTGGCACATTGTTACAGGTCTAAACTAGACAAGCACACTAGCCCCAATGCTCTTCGTGTCTAGGGCAGGCTTCTGGACAAACAGAAACAAAAACTCGAAAGCAATGCAGGGCCTAAACATGATCTAACTTTTCACTATACTAGAGGGTTGATTTCTAGGCTTGACCAGTTCCTGACAAGCTCCTCTTCTTTGCCTACTCATCAGATCCCAACCTGAGAGCCTACATTCCATACAAAATGAGCAGCATTGCAGGAGCAGACGAATATTAGAGCTTTGAATGTCGGGCTGCTGACAGTCTACATCAGCACTCAGCACTCAGCTTACAAAATCACTCAACAGTTTCGTAGACTTCATGGATAAGAAAGGTTTTGGCAGCCCTGGGATGTCATAGCGCACATTGCAAAGAGCAATCCCCGAGAGACATACCCAAGAAAGCACCATAAACCCAGAATAGTCACGAGCATGTCTCACCTTCTCCTCGATTGTGAGATCAGTGCGGCACCGGCGCTCCCTCTAAACACAAGGACCGTTGGAGATAGAAGAAAGATGGGCTACACAATAATGGCAGTCATGGCCGCTCGGAGAACCAGCTGACGTGGGAAAAGTTCAGGAAAGATGCTCCGGAAATTCTTTTTTCGCCAAAGCATCTCAGAATGCGGCTCAAAGTCTTCCCCGAAATGCTCTCAGTGCTGGAAGGAGAACCCGCCAGGCGTGCCTCCCGTGAAGGTCCACTTGCGCATCTGCTCATTTGAACTGCTCAATGATGTAGACATTTGCTTCCTTCCAAAGATGTGATCTCGATGTGGTGTTTTACATGGACTTTGGCAGACGTTATGAAAGTACGTCATTTTAAGTACCTGTAGGCTGTCTCAGCAAGGATGTAGGTGAGTGCAAGGCCATACAGCAGTTGTACGGTATACCGAGATCAATTCACGATTCGCAGCACCTGTTGCGTCAGCCAAAATCGTCGAAGCTTCAAAGTTTACAGCCTGCAGCTTGTACGGACGGCATCAATGATCACACTGGCACAGGCTCAGCCAATCAGTCTGAGGCTCTGCCAATCACAGTCAGCGGATTCCACGCCTGCGGCCTGCCGCCCTGCCGTTTCGCCGGGGCATCTACCGAGCTGTTAACGTTGGTCAGTCCGCATATAAATTACGTCACTTTATGGGTCAGGACAACCAGCAGAGGGTTGCTAGCTTTCAATATCACTGATCAGAGAGAGTTAATTAGGAGTCAGGACTCAAGATTAAATACCTACATGATTCAGACCTTGTCTCATGACTCAAGAGCCACCCATGCCAATGCCAAGGGCTCCGTCCTACGGGACTAAAAAATTAATTGAGCTCATCCATGATCTCACCATACACTCGCCTTATTGGCCGGCGGTGAACGCGGGATTTGGAGATCGTTGACCTGCGGCAGTGAATGACTGATCTGAGTCCGTCATGATTTATCGTCCTCGCATTCGCAAGTGCGCTCAATCTCATGAGTCATGCTTCCTCTCTTTGAGCAAATCACAGGCAGTGCCGCCACCGAGGGTCCAGGGCCCAGGCCCCAGGCCCCAGGGATTCGGCAAAACTGCAAAAGTGGGCCGATCTTGGTTGCGTGCTCGATCGATGTGACATCATACTTCAACCTAGTAATTTCACAGGATAGGTATTATATGCACATATGAATCGATACGGTTTGGTCCCACTCGATCATGCAGAATGCCGCATGCCCAAAAATAATCCATTAATTGATTGGGCCGCATGTCGCTTATCTAGAGGGTGGCAGTCGCTTGAAGCTTCATATTAAACCTGATGCAACGTCATTTAATCGTTACCTCAAATTTCAGAACATCGAACCGCCAGAGTGATTAGATGACCATATCGGACCGCCGAACGAGGCTCCTGAGTCCTTTAACTGTACCTAGTTTATAAGTGGTATGAACATATATTTTACAATATATTGATTCGCAGCACGCTGATAAGTTCTCTCCAGAGTCCATATATGTATTCCATGATTCCATTTCTCTTTTTCTCTCTTTCTCCCCTTTTATCTCTTTTTTCTCCTTTAATATCTCTTGGCTGTGAGTGGGACCCCACCTGTGATGTCAATTTGATATCCGGTAAAGGCAGGTGGGCCGTGACCTGTATTGCTCGCCAGAAATACCTAGGTTGACGTAACGCAAGTGCCCGGGCCCCGGAACCCGACTCGGGGACTCCGGCCGACGGGTATGAACACACATGTCGCCACTCGGCCAGTGTCGCATGGCGATAGATCATAGCAGTCGGACGGGACGGCCCGGGGCCACGGTTGCGTGACAGGTCACAGCAGGGCCCAGGGTTGCTTTGAATTAATTTCATTCGTTTGCACAAGGTGCTCTCGGATAGAATTCCATTAATTCACATGAGTGACGTCTTCGGTATGATTGTCCTTCATTGACACCGGTAAGATCAGTAAGACACAGTCCTGACTCCTCACAGTATCTCAGCTCAGCCACTCACAGTCCTCGCCTGCTCAAATGTTTGTCACGCCAGATTGGCTCCTTGCCATAGCGTGTCCTGAGCGCGCGCGTGCGCGTATCGCGCCGCCGCCACAGGCTCATAGCCTATGCACGGCCATAGCCTATTCATGTTGGACCCTTCGTTTATTGGGGTCCATGCATTTTGGCCCCTTTGCATTATTCGTCTATTTAATGC